TGGGGAATTCTGGGAGTTGAAGTCCATGCAGCTTAAAGTGGCCAAGGTTGAGAAACACTGCACTAACCAATGTTTTCTAATCACCTGTAGGACTCGCCATGTCACCTTTTCTACGGATTGGCCTGTCCAACTATGACAGTGGCCCCTACCTCCCTTCGCAAGGGGACGTGATCGATCCCTATTGTGCCGTGATGGTGAAGGAGGCCGTGGAGGCTGGTAAGCGTGCGCTTTTCTGTCCGGGCATCTTTGGGGTTGGGTGTTAGTCGGAGGCTTTCTGGTCCCTTGGATTTCGGCGAGAAATCGGAGCCTCCGCCGACGTGGTGTGAGTTTCAACTATAAGTTACGGTGTTATTTTCTCTTGCGCTTTGACCCTAACCTTGAGTAAGGCTCTGAATCTCAATGAAGAAAGAAGAGACAGAGACTGGCTATTTAATCTTTTTCACACTGGTCATCTTCCCGCTCACACTTATCCACCTCTCAAGTTTTTTTTTTTTTCACCCCGATCTCCATTTCTTCTCTCTGGAGACTGAGCAAAAGCGAGCCAGGGAGGATTGCAAGTTCAAAAAGGACCAGATGGAGTAGACTATATAAAAGCCAATTCCCAAGCCATCCTTCCTCCGGCTCAACTTTCAGTCTTCCAGCATGCCTTTTTAAGAAAGCCACGTGCTTAAAAAACTTCGGAAGGAATCAGCTGTCTTTGAAAGTGTCCCATGTTTTTATTTATTTGCAGCTGGATTTGATTGAAGACGTTCTGATACGGGTTCCCATGAAAATAAACGTCAGAATATTGGGCTGGGGTTTTTTTGCATTTGGCTTCATTCATACCATAGGTTTATCCTTGTGTCTGCAAAGAACATTGAACCGTGTAAACGGAATGAGCTGCTTTGCAGAATATGCTAAGCACCAAACAACATTAGAAAGGGGTTAACTAATTAACCTTAGCATCATGTGCCAGTGTTAACATCCGTAGAAGGCATGCCCAAGATTAGAGGCTGTCACCAAACAGGATGACAGCAAGGGTGCACCATTGGAATGCAAGCTCCTTGTTTTCTGTTGTGTGTGCAAGGACACAACAGATGGGCAGAAAGGGTGGAGCTCGAGTTGCAACAATGCAAGGCGGCTTTTATCATTCCCCCCCCCGTTCCCCCCACTCTGGACACCTCTGACCACCATCTTTCATTGCTGTTCTGCACATACATACAACTGTACGCTTTTAAAGCTTAAAGTCAGGGGTGCCCGCAGGTATGGTCAAAAAAGTCAAGATGGGGCCTGCAGTGGTGCAATCAAAGTTCCGCCTATTTTTTTAATGTGTGATGCAGATAAAACACAGGCAGGGCTTTGGCTGCATTGTTGAGGCCACCCACTTGACTACACCCTGCTCAGAGTAGAGCAGGGTTTCTCAACCTTAGCCACTTTAAGATGAGTGGACT